TTATTGTTTTAAAAAATTATAAATGAGAAAAAGTTTTATTTATTTTATAAGTAATATTTGCTAAAAAGTTTATAAAAAAAATCAGTTTTGAGGACAAAACCATTTGAAGAGGGAGAGAATGATACAATATCAAAAATCAGTAAATCAAGGGTCTTCAATATGTGAATTATTATTAGAATATGTTTTTCATAATTATCAAAGTCAAAGGATTCTCATTCAAGTCCAAAGCAAGATTGGTGGCAAGAAGACCATTATTTGATTTAGCTTATTTTTCTTATTTTGTTTAAATGTAAATAATTTAAATTAAATGTAATATATTGTAAAGATTCTTTGTAAAAGCTATAAGAGCTTATTGTTCTCATTGTAAAAAGATATAAAAATTTTTAGAAAATGAAAGAGAATTTTCTCTAAAAAGCTTAGGCTTTGTTACTTTGTTCATTAGAGGTTGTGTGCAATAACTTCTTTTATGTTCTTGCGAGTTCTTGAGTGTTTTGTGGAATCAGACATTTAAGTTTGCGTGTTGTTTCTTACTGTCCATGCGAGGATGAACCCTTGGGAGTTAGAAGCATAAATTGTTGCATGTGGAATCAGTCAACCCATCTATCCATTCCATCCACCGATCCTTTCTGAAAGAGACTTGAGTCCAGCAGGATTGATCCTATAACCATCCATTTCGATCATCTCTTGAGCAAGTAAAAAGAGACTTCAGTCCAGCTGCTTGCTTCCACCCATTCATCCAACCATTTATAAGATCATCCCATTAATCTTATATCAGATGGACTTATAGTTAGGTGCTTTCTTCTTGATAGTGAGATTGCATTTCGGTTATCAATGCTTCTTAAATATCAGCTAGACATACATAACGTGTGCATTTATAACAGTACTTCTCTTGTTCATTAATTCACTTGGCAAACCAAGAAGTCACTGTTTCGATATATGGTGTGCATAGAAAGGCCAAAACATAATAAGAATCACAATTTTTATCCCGTATTGATTTATGTGATTGTGTTTTTATGATATTTGTTTGCCTTAAACTGACACCATCAGGTTGAAATTTTTAGTAGTCGTTTACAATTTTCTAATTACACGTTATCCAAAAAAACAATAAGCATAAACCAAACTCTTTCAAAGATTCGATATGACATATTCATTTATCTCTACGCATCACCTTGGGCAAAATTAAAGAAAAAAGGATACACATTAGTGACGAATGTTCCGTATATTTATCTAACATTCATAAGATCTGAAAGAACACATATATTGCAAAGATAAGATGTAAACTCATGGCAGAAAACGACATGAAGCGTATACAATAAGAGAACAAAAATAGTATACTATGAAAGCTATGGGCCTTAGCAGCATAAGCAGCAGATCCAACTTCGACCATTGTTGCATCTGGTTTTCCACAGAATATGTTCTCGAGTATGGTTGTGGCAAAAAGCACAGGTTCTTGATTCACAAGCCCGATTTGTTCACGCAAAAACTTCAAGTGAACGTCTTTATTTCAACAACATCCAACAGAATTTGCCCTGCTCATCAGAAAAAAAAACATTAGTGACTATGATCCAGTCATTAGCCAAAACTCGGATATGGAGAAAGTTTTCAATCAAATTACCGTGGCTTGGATCGTAAATTCTCACAATAAGGGAAACAACAGTGCTCTGATATTAGTCAAACACATCGTATTATCTATATATATACATATTAGTATTGACATATGTAACTACGATCTCGACGACCTGTGTGAAGCTACACATAAAAAAAAATACAATACACACCTGCTGGCATCAATTTCAAGCCAAAGAGAATAGTCGAGATCAAAGGATTGAACAAACTCGCGGGAAACGAAAGGAAAAGAAAATTGGATTTGGTATATGTTATCTACAGAAAATATGAAGCTTAATTGTCAAAGATTAAAAAAAAAAGAGTTAGATTTGATGTAAAGACAATACAATAACAAAAAGAACATAAACCAAGCTATATGTTCATCAGCTAAAAGATTATATAGGGTTTTATTAGTTTTGATATAGATGACAAAAATACAAACCTAAAAAAGAATAGATCTACACGACAACTTCGATTTCTGATAATGAAAATAACTATCCTATTTACCTTACCGTCTAAATCAGTTCGGTGCATTGAAAAGGGAAGTGAAACCAACACCACACCACCTGCATGAATATCAAAAACTTCATTAAACATAGAAACGAAACACATAATCAATTGAAAAACTAAGAAGAAGGAATTGAATATAATGTCTAGGTGATTCGCCCGCAGCTTTACCTAGGTGAATCGTTTCACCTGTCACAACAAACATTAAAACACGGAAAAAAAAGAACCAAACCAAGCGTAAACAATAACTAAATCAAAAGATAGTAGAAACAACCAAACGATTTCGCGATGTGACGATCGAATCTTTGCAGCTCTCTGAGATCTTCAGTCGACATTCTCCAAATTTTGACTCGGAGATTTGACTGAATCAGAGAAATCTCAGGTTCTTGATTGTTGAATGCCGTCGACGATTTTGCCTTTTTCCGTTGGTCATGACGTCTATAAGAAGTTGGGTCAGGGGACTTTGACTGAATGTGGAGTATCTGTATTTATAATTTATAAGAGTGTCCCTCTCGGTTAAATGATATGGATCAAGAACAGAGCAAGAATTGATTTCGACCCAAAGAATTTCCTCTTTTAATATTTTTACTTTCCGTAATGTAATGCAATCCACTAATTCTAAGACTGAGGTATGTTCAAAGACTCACCCGACTATGAGATATGTTTTTGTTTAATTTTTATGACTCGAACACAAAAGATGGTTCGAATGTAAATTACTAATGGCGTTGGAATTAGTCGAATGTAAATTACAAATGGCATTGATGATCTTCCAATCGTCATAGTCGGGTGAGTCTTCTGCTAGGTGCATCAGACTACCATCCACGAAGCCAAACTTCTTCTGTGACCTCAAGGCAGTCTCAATGTTAAATCACCCATCCTTCATAGTTATCTCCAAGTAACAGAGGATGCGAGATAACACTTCTTGGGTTGTTGCTGGCGGTGAGATCGTATGGAGAGATCGTATGTCTGTGGATCTCCATGAATGGTGTCGGGTTTCGGGGTCAATGTCGAGCGTTCAGTTTTTAGAGCGAGGTTTTTGGCATCAAAGTGTCGATTCAAGGACGAACGAAAGTCAGAGTAAAGAAAGCAAAAAAAAAAAAAAAAAAAGAGAATGGTATCAAAAATGAGAGATTGAAAGAGTTATCAGAGATTATGCTCTTATAACATAATAAGCGGCGCATAGATAGTAAAATGGATTTCTCGTTAATCACAAAGATGATCGTTAATCACAAAGATGATGACACACATAATGTATAGATGATTTATACACAGTGATTATCAAGTACAGCCACTAAAATAAATTCAAATCAGCCTTTGAAAGTTTATGCTTTCTCTTTCGATTACAAAGCTAAGTTTGAAAAACTTAACACCTTCTTATCAATTTTGCTTTTGATCTTACTTCTCCCTTTGAAGACCTTCTCCTGAAAAATAGAACCAAAGTTTATGTTCTAAGCTTAAACAATGCAAAATAGAACATACCAAACATATCAAAAAAATCTAAACACCGTCTTATCAATTTTGCTTTCGATATTACTTCTCCCTTAGAAGACCTTCTCCTGAAAAACCTAAAAGAAAAAGTGTAATCACAGGATTAGATTAAAAACCATAAAAAGCTAAAATAGTCTTGCATTTAACATATCAAAATCAAATACATCAACCAAAACATAACCGAAGTTTATGTTCTACAACAATAAAGTTTAGATACAAATCTTCTTATTTCTCGGGAAAAGGTCTTGAAAAAGCTACATAAATCAAAACCAAATTACAAATCACCAAGAATAAAAAAAAAAAAATACCAGATTACTCGATAAGAATCCTCTAACAACCTTACACCACAAAAAAAAATAATAATACAATCAACATAACACAATTACAAAAATTAAATAAACTAAATATGTCATGTTAAGCATACCTTGGTCAAGACGAATTGATACATCTCGTTCTTTGAAGAAGATGCAAAACAAAGTACATGTAAGAAAAACATATCATAACTAACACAAATATACGAACTATCATAGATCTATCATAAAAAATTAGAAGAAAGATAAATCATTGGATAATTAAGAGGTAAGACTAACGCTAAGATATAAAAATACACAGCTAGCAAGTAATATATATACCTAAACGGATTAGGGTTTTATTTGCTGTATCAAGTTTAGCCGTAATTAAATTATTAGGTTTAGCAGACAAAGATAAAACATGAAAACACCGCATAAAAATTAAATAAAAACATACCTTGTTCAACATAGCAAATCAGAGATCAATCTATCATACGAGGAGAGAAAACCGAAGAACATAAACAGCAAGAGTCAATGCATAAATCAAAGATAAAACATGAAAACACAACATAAAAATTAAGTAAAAACATACATTGTTCAAGGTAGCAAATCATAGATCAACCTATCACAAAGTGAGAAAACCCAAAAAACATTAGAGATCTAATTGAGAACATCAAACAACCAAACAATATTACAACAAAAATTTTAAAATGAAAAACAAAAATAGAAACAAAAAAAATCGAGCAATCTAGGTTAAAAATGTGGGTTTCAAATCATATATAGAGATAGGTATATATAGCCTTCGAAATCTAGGGTTTAACTTCAAATTCTGGAATTTTAAATATAATTCTAAACTTGGGCCAAAGTAAAATTCTAAACTCAACAGGGACAATATTGAGTTTGAAAATAGTACACATATCCATTTAAAATAATCAAACCAAACCCAATAACATGTATTAGCAAACTCATCGGTTTTAATAAAATATATATTTTCATTAAGGGAAAGACAGTCTTTTCCCATAAGGGGTAGAAGGCAAATAACCCCTCTGAGAAGCGATATGATGCATTTCTGACTTCGCAAATAATATATTAGATTAGGTGGTAGATACCACACTATTTTAAATAACAAACAATTAAAAAGAAAAGATAATCTATAAAGATTAATCCAGTTTTTTTATTGTCGTCGGAAAGCAAAATAATTAAAAAAAAATTAATAATCTTTTCATTACAAAACATATAGAAATAGGAAATTTTCTATGGGTGATTAGAATCAGTAAAGATGAGATGATCTGCATCTCTAATAACATCTACATCATCAATCTCTGCATTGTTTTCTTTGCTCATAACTTTGGCAGCAACAATACCAAACTTGTTGGAACCCAATTCTAGCAACTCCTTGTAGCTCGGTGGAAGTAGCACCAGCTTCCCTGCGACCTCATCTTTACCTGCGCAACTAATCATCACTCTCACCGGGTTTTCGGCTCTGCTTTCATCTACTGTAGGTAGACCGTTTTTGTGCACACTTTGATTTGCTAATATCCCAAACAATGAATTGTCAAAGTTGTTAGTTTTCCGTCTTGGCCTTGTTTCCGTGATCCTAAAAGATACATCTCTTGATGGGGGACGAATATTAGGTTCACTTGTGAATCTTCCTAGGAATCGGATTCCAGTTTTGAGTATAGGAACCGAGGTACTTGACGCGATATGTGCCTTCTCATGTCTTGTTTCTCGGAATAGAGCTTTAATATCCTCATGTCCTTGTTGCTCAGCAAGATCCCTAGCCGTCCAACCATGCATATCCTGCTTGTTAACATCTGCACCGTGTTCCAAAAGATACTTTACCATCTCAGTGTTTCCTTCGCATACAGCAGCATGGAGTGCGGAGGTTCCCGTGGCTCTGGGACAGGTAACGTCTCCATCATGTCTAACTATTTCTTTTAGTAACTTCAAGTTGCTTTGCTCAGCCGCCGTGCATGCAAAATGACCCACATCCCCTGCATCTATAGTAGCACCATATTCTAACAATACCTTTACAACTTTCTCATGCCCTTCAACCATTGCTTCCCACAGTGGTACACTCCCTTCCACATCTACATTTAAATTTTGGTAAAACCAACACCTCAGTTACATAAAATATTAAAAATAAGTATATGACTTGAACTTTATTTCAATCAAGTACCTCTACAATTGGGGTCTGCATGGAATTCCAATAGAAGAAGCACACAATTGAGACTTCCTTTTGACGATGATATATGCTGTTTACAAGCAAAACAAGATAGAATCAAATTATACTCACCAAATAGCCTAGATAGGTAAAAAGTACAGAAATTTGTGTACTCCACTAACCAGAGGTGTTCTACCATTGTTATCTGATTCATTTGGATCTAGTCCTCTCTTTAGTAACTGATGCAAAAGCAAATGGTCTTCTCTTATTGCAGCAAAGCATAAATTGAGAGGAAGATCTAATTTACCCCGTGCAAGCATGTTTTCTGTCTCTTCTAGAACAATCGCCATCAATGGATCACTCATTTCTTTCAAATGCTACTCTCCTCAAAACAAAAATGAACTTTAAAACCACTAAAAAATAATTATTTAATTATTTATAAATTTAAATGATATGTTTGTTCACCTGTAGTAGATTATTCATTATTATGGTACCATCTCCAACATTGGCTTGAATAATATTCAAAAAAGTTGTGCGATTCATACGCAATAGTTGGCACAGCCGTTTTGTCCTCACTGTAAACAACTGTGGTCTGTAGCATAACACACCTATCTCCCCTATAATGTCTCCAGATTTTACTCCTTTTACAACCTGAAATTCTACAAGACTTAGATACATCTCAAATCCAAAACCATGGGACCGGAGACAAAAGGAATAAATGCAAAGTAAAAAATATTTTCAATTCAAAGTGATGCGGCTCACAGTTTCTATTCCACCGTTAAGAACCACCAAGTCCTGCATACATCATAACAGAGAAGTTATATAAGTCAATTGGTTTCACATTCGTTTCATATATGTCCAATCAACAAAACTGTTATAAACTTTTGTAATGTTTATTACCGCGGTACCATTCACAAGGATGTAAAAGTCTGTTGGTGCTTCGTTCTGCAAGATCACATCTTCTTTTGGGGGAAAGTACTCTGCTTTCATTTCTGAGACCTGCAAATTTACAAAAACAAGGGAGCTTATAGCATGGTGCAGATATATATGTAGTAGTCTCTAAACTTTGTATCGAAAAGTCGAAATGTATGAACAAATTACCAGTTGGAAAAGCAGGTCATTAGATACTCCGCGGAATAGGTAAACTTTATCCATGAGGGAATAGAAAAGAAAGTGCGATATACTTGATCTAATGGCTTTTGGGAGAGCATCAAGAGTTTCTTGTTGTTGTAGCCCCTCAGAGTCAGTTCGATACTTCAAACATAAATGCGCAAGCATTTGATCTTGTAAACGAGATGGTAAATGGTTTCTATGAGCGAAATTTGAAGCAGCTTGTATTGTATCTCTCTTGAAAAAATAATGAAAAAAAAATTATAAGTATCCTTATAAATTATTAAATATAATTAGGTGATTTGAAATTGCGAAACTTACAAAATTTCTTGTCCGGCTTGTTCCATGGACTACCAAATTAGTCATGTTACCAATCAAATATGCTGTTAATCCAAGGTTGAAGAGCATATAGAAGATGACAAATATCATCTCCTTTCTGTTCACTGGATGCAAATCACCATAACCAACAGTAGTTAGAGTAGTAATGGACCAATACATAGAAGTCACATATCGCATCCATATGGTTTCTTTTAGGAAGTTTTTGTTTGATGCTCCAATCCAAGTGTCTGCAAGGTCATGGTTGCGTGCTGCGATAAGGTAATAGAAACACGCAGCACAGTGAACTGCAAAAATGGTAACCTGCAACAAACTCCACTTAATGAATAGTACTTTGCTAGTTTAGTTTAAATAAATATATATTTTGATGTTCTTACACAAATGAGTTTTGCGCATCGGACCCAAAAATAGTTGAAGTTACGATCTTTTTCGAGCCTGTATAAAAAGTGTAAAGATTTGAGAAATATATATTTATAAAAAAAATAGTATTGCCCATTAAGGTTCAGATTTACGAATCATTCTAAATATTAATGCTGTTAACCCCAAAAAATTATTAATTGAATCGAACCTGGCAAACAAGGCACCAACTCTGCGGAGACGCCAAAGACGAAGCATGTTAAATAATCCATAAGACTGGGATGAGATTCTCATAGCCACCTCCGAGGGGATGGTTGAGACGAGATCAAGGAGGAACCAAGAACGTAAGTATTTAAATGCAATCATTTTACGATCATCAACAAGTAGGTAGGTGGATTTATCGAGGTAACCAACAAAGAATGTCATGATGATATCGATAGCAAAGAATCCATTCACAATGTTATCAGTGATAGATAGTGGTGGCCTTGGCTTCCTCAAGAACCCAAACTCAAAAGGAGAAACCCAAGCCGTGTAAACCACTAGAACCACTAGGAAAGCCTCCCATATCCTGCATCGAACACTTTAATTTCAGTTTTAATCAATGATCCTCATTTTAGAAATTTCTTTATACATTTTTTTGTTTCGTATGATAGCCACGTATTTTTCAGCACTATTTTTCTACTTTTGGTCAACTTATATTTTTCTATGATTTACATCAATCATCGAAATCACGGAATGGAGGCCTTTGAACTTTCCACATTCACGTTTTCATTTATTTAAATTATTGTTTTCCCAAAACGCCAAAAACCAAAAGCAAACGGTCATTATGACATAACCAACCACAGTGTTAATAAAAGCCTTGAATTTTCCATATTCGCCGTCGCATTTTAATATACCTTCTTTTTTTACTATCAATTATGAACGATAGGAAACTAGGACTTGAATATTCCAACTGTTAAATAAAAAGGAGCTCTGGTTATCTGTTAAATCCAAATAACTAAAAAAATAAATGAAAATGAAAATCATTAATCAATTGTAACATGTGTTTGTATGTCTCGTTAATCACTTGCAAAACTGATCTTATTATATAATTTTGGATACATTTAATTTATTAATTAAATTATTGTCACATGTGTTTGTCAATGATCAAATTTTAATAGTTATCAATTAATTTTCAATTAAATCTTAACAGTTGTAAAAAAAAATTAAATCTAAACATTATTATATGTTCTGAATTATTTTAATTATTATTCTATATTTTTAAAAATTTTGTAATACAAATTTTTTAAAGTATTATTATTATAAGAAATGATCTAAAATTATCAATCATAGAAAAATAATATCAAACATAGATTATTCTATGAAAAAAGTTGTAAAAATACAATATTTAAATTCAATTAGACACTTGCAAAACTGATTTTATATAAATTTTATTACATTTAATTTATAATTTGAGGCGAATATCAGCATTGCATTAAAAACTGAAAATATTGATATAAATAATGTATTGTATTCTTAAAGATAAGCGATTGAGAATAGAAAAATATTTTCTTAATGATTGATTAATTTATTATGTTAAATTAGTGTAGTGGATTTTTTTAAGAATTGTCTTTATGAGAAATCCATTTTTCATATTAAAATTGACAATAGACTATTAAACAAATAACTATTATTAGAAGTTGTTTTGTTAGCCGTTCAAAAACTAATTTTGTGGATTGTTTATTACTTTTTGATAATTTTATTTGTATTTCACATCTGATTTAATTATCAGAGAAACAAAAAAATTTGTGTTCTGAACAGAAAATGAAACGAACTTCCGTGTTCTTAACAAAATAAGGAAATTTGTGTGTTTCCGATCCTTCAAAATCAATGAATAAGAAGAATCATGTTCCAATCGTAGTGAAATAGCAAACCCGAGAGAGCACTGATGTCTTGTTAACTCGAGTGAGAGGAATAAGAAAAGCAAATAATCGTAAGAAAAAACGAGACCTGTATTTGTGATCATAAGGAGATAATATGAATCTCTTCAGCTTAACTCGGCGGTTACTTCGAGCTCCAAGTGAAGGTAAAATTCCAGTTGAAAGACTAAAATGACTGCTCTCTCTCGAAAGCTGTTCAATCTCATCTAGTTCGTGTCTCCCTCTACCTCTGAGACTCCCCATATTTTTTATTTTCAACAGTTTCTTCTCTTTCTCTCGATTGTTCTTTTCTCTTCCGGCTTCTGTATAAGAGGCAGAGTATGTTTTATTGTTTTAATTTTGGGTGTGTCATCTCTGACTTTGGATCCTTCACTTTGAAGAAAATGTGTCTTCTTTCTGTATCAATGGGACCCACCTCACGTCTTAGCATTAAACTGTTGATTTCTCCATATTGCGATAAAATAAAATATCGTTGTTAGTACATTAAAAAAAAAAAAAACACACAATAATAGACGGGGAAGAGTTGACTAAAAAGAAGACATGATAGGAGGAGGATAAGAACCGCTCCATTGGGGGTTCCCTCATCAAAATGTCTGAATATTTAAAAATGATAATAAATACAAAAGGTAAAAAACAATAATGTAAATAGGTTCTTAAGGTATCTAAGATGAGAATTGATTCTTAATTTTTGAGATATCAAAAGGACACTTGTCTTGTTTTAATTGCATCAAATTCTTTTACATATTAATTTTGTATTTTATATAATAATCTGATACATTATTCATTATATTAGGAGTCATAAAATATAGGATTTGCATTACATTTCATTTTTTTAAATATAATTTGTGTCTTGTTTTCATCTACTTTTTACATAGCATGTATATAGTTTAGGATTGTATTTTGCATGCATTTGAGAGTGTTTTCAAGTTTTTATAGAGCTCTAGAGATCTTGGACAAAAGGATGGATTAAGCAAAAGAAAGAAATTCAGTAAAGAAAAGCAGTTCTAGGCGTGAAGATGTGTCCATACCGGCCAAGTGCACCATGGAAACCAATTCTACCTTTTCACGGTACAATCTGCACCGAGCAAGGCGTATCCGTACACCGAGTGGTCTCCTCGAAAGCGATTGTACCGACGAAAGGGCTGCCGTACACCGATGCATTTGCTTGGTATGAAACTTCAGGACATACCGATAAGTGCACCGAGGAGAGCAACCCGATGCTTTGCCCGACACTTCGCTCGGTGCGTCCCAAGACTGAGCCTTCTCAGCATTGAACCGACGTGTTGCACCGACGAAACCAACTTCTCTCCTTCCTTGGTGTCGGTTATTTTGGTAGCTTTGACCACAATTGACTTGTTGACTTTTTGTATTTTGTAGTTGACTAGGTCTATTTTTATGTTCTCCTAATAAATAGTTAAGTCCAAAACCGCCACTTATCACATCTTCTCTTATCATTATCAGTTTTTCTTTACCTTTGAGCAAAAATCTTTCCTTTGTAAGAATTTGCCGAGAGATCTTTGAATCTTGAAGTTTTATTGCTTAAGTATTGTTATTTTCTTTTAATATCTTGTCTTTTGCTTTCATCTAATCATCAATTTTAATTTGAAGGATTTAAACATGATTAGTGAGTAATCCACTTTAAGCTTAAGATTAAGATAGATTAGGATGGTTTAATGATTGATTAGGATGCTAGGTTTTTAGATCTTTGTTAATCTCTTCTTTTGCATTTGTGTTTAATGCTTAGTACATCCTTTATTGAGAAAATGATTCTAGGCGTGTTGGATTGCATGTTAAGTATTTGTTGAAATGCTTGAATGAAGTTTGTTGCATGAAAATGGTGTTTAGATAGTCATGACTCTTTGCATCTATCATTTCTTGCACATTTGCACTTAATGCTTTTGCACTTAAATGATAAGGAACTGGTTTTGAATGCTGATTATGCATGGGAGTACGAGTTAGTGTTTGATCCATTGCTTGAGAGATAAGTAAGCTTAGCCTTCTAAGATGCTTGTTAAGCTTTAAGGACCTTATGTTTAACGCTTTTTGGTTGTATTCCACCATTGAAAGTGGGTTAGGAGTATGATTAGTAGAAGGATTATTGCTAAGGGATTAGATTTGTCTTTATTAGTGGTCTTGCTTCAACATTAGACATTGATTGTTTGTTTGCACCCTAGTCATAATTTAAACCATCTGAAATCACATTGCCTTAGTCTTGATCCTAGTCTTTAATTATATTTCGAACCTTGCTTAGTTATTCTCTGTTTTTCTCTCATTGAAAATTGCTTTGTTTACTCTTGTCACTTGGTTACTTGTTCGCAATCTTGCCTTGTTTGATTGTGAACCTCTTTTAAACCATCTTTGCCTAGCTCTACAAGTTGGCTGCATCTCCTCTAACTTCTTTTGTCTGAATTGATAAAACTCTTTGCCACTATACTACTCTTAGTGCATTGAGGTTGCACTCAAGAGATAAAAACTCTTGTGTCAAATGGCGTCGTTGCCTTACTTGGGAATTGTATATTGGAGTTTGCTATCTTGCATAGTATAAGCTCTTATTTCAGTACTAATTTTTATTTACTTTAACTTGTTTCAGGTACCACTTTGCATGAACTTGAGATCCAAAGGCTCTAACACTCTTCTTCCACTAGTAGAAAACATCCATCATCTTGATAGAGGAGTTAGAATTAAAAGACAAAGGTTAAGGGTTCAGCTGCAAGAAGAGTTACTAATGGCTGATCAGGTTCATCAAGATGTTCTTGTTGCACAAGAACCAGCTGCACAAGCTTCTAGAGGCGCAGTGATAACTTCATAATTTACCGTGTTTTTGCATACATTTATTTTAAGTTATGTTTCCTTTCTTGCATTCATTCATCATGTTTTATCCCTTTTTGCATCTATATTAGACATGTTAGATTTTAGACAAGGCATTGCATATTTTATATGGTTTGGAGTCTCTTTCAGGTTTATATGAAGCTTAGGAAGAGTTTGGGAAATGGCTGATCGAATGAACAAGAAGGACCAGGCTGGAAAATGAAGGAAATGCAAGTTCAGGTCCATATTGAGGTAGTGTACTGTGGAGATCAACCATGCATCCCCACAGTACGATCATACCGAGGAAAGAGCCGACTCTACACAAAGTGGTTTGCTCGGAGGCGATTATATCAACGAAATGGCTGACCGTACACCGGTGCATCTCCTTGGTACAAGGAGCCAAAGGATATAGCAGGCAAGTGCACCGAGGAGAACAACATGCGTCCTGCCCAGTACGTCCTGAAGCAGAAGAGCCGACCATCCGATCTGAGCTAGAACATCCAGTACAGGCATCCGAACGCACCAACGTGCTGCACCGCCGAGATCAACCCTCCCCTTCCTCGGTATAAGCTTATCCAGAGCAAAAGTTGACTTTTGAAAAACCACTTATTTTTAGTTGAACAGGGAAAATTTGGGGCTTGTCCTATAAATAGCCTTAACCCAAAATTAGTTTTCTTTATCCTTTCTTTTGCCTCCAAAGATTATGCTTTGGTTTTTTCATAGATCTTAGAACAAATCCTTTTGGAGTAAAAGATTTAATCATTGTATATACTCTTTATTTATGTCATTCATATTTTAATCTTAAGTCTTTCATCATTTAGTCTTGCTTTTCATTTTGTTATTGCTTCTATTAATTTTGAATTTCTGTCTTTGGTCTTTAGAGGTCTTGGTTCTTGAGAAAAAATTGTGTTTCCTTTAATGTTTAAGGTTGATTAGGGTGTTAGATCTATGATTAACTCTTCTAATGTGATTATGCTTAATGCTTAGTACGCTTTGTTAGAAAAACTAGATCCTAGGCTTTTTAGTATTGCTTTTAGGGTGGTTGCTAGAATGCTTGAAAGAAGTTTTGGTTGATGTAATGTCTTGCTTAACTTGTGCTTAGGGATTAGTATAACAATAAAGGGAAATTTTCCTTAGATACTGAGTATGCATCGAAAGTGTGAGTTGGTGTCGGAACTATTGCATAAGAGATGAGTACGCTTAGTAGTTCTAGGATGCTTATTAGGCTTTAAGGACTTTGTACTTTATGTTTATTGATTGCATTTCCACCATCAAAAGTGGGTTAGGAGTTTAGTTAGTAAAGAGATTTTTGCCAAGGGATTGGGTTAGTCTTTATTAGCAGTCTTGCTTAGAGTTTAATGCATTGATCATTGCTTTAAAGTCTTGTTCCTGATTTGGTTTCACTTTGTTATTCAATAGTCTTGAACCTTGCCTTTTGTGTTTTACTTTAAGTGTTTTGCCTTAGTGTTCACCTCTGTTTTCTTGTTCTGTTTTGCATTTCTTTGTTCACTTGAGGATGTTAGATTTCAAACCCTCTTTTATATATTTAGGCTTAGCTTAGCAACTCTTCTGCATCTTGATTGTCCGTTAGCCTCTGGATTAGATTGATAGCCTTTCTACATTACAATGGCATGTGTAGATAGGTATTGAGAGTAGTAGTTTTATCTCTACAAAATCTCTTTTTTCAATTGGCATTGTTGCCAGTTCAAGAGTGTTTAAGGCATTTGAGTTTGATTTCTTCCTTAGACAAGGCCATTTTCTTTATGTTTTTTTGTGTGTTTGACATGATTGGAGAAGGAACACTAGTTCCATTGTACGCTCATCCTTGAGTTTCAAATGATAAAATTCAAGCTATGTGACTATATCTAGCACACTTGGGAGGTAGTCCCATGACTATCCTCCATATATATTTCTTCCTTTTGCTTTTTGATCTTTTTGTTTAGTGTTTTCAGGGTCATAAGTGGTTTCAAATGGTCCACAAAAGATGGCAAGTGTCAAGGAGCCACAACCAGTTTCTTAACCGAGCTGGTGTATCAATCACGGCCAGGAAAATAATAAGCCAAATACCAAGCTCAAACCAGACATTTCTGTTCGGTATGACTGCCTATTGGTGCACCATGCTATCCTCCCATTGGCGTTTTCACCAAGAACCAATACCGAGGAGGACAGTTCAAACCTAACCCTTAAAGGATTTTAAATCCTCCTCCTTTACTACACCTTAAGGTAAACTCCAGAACCTTTTTCATATTTCTTCTTCTCTTATTTTTGAATTGTTGATTGGTTTTTGCCTCCTCTTTCATTTAAGTTACATAATGAATTACACAAGGACTGTGTAATTTATGTGTGGAGGAGGGTTTGATACTAACAGCTCTCTTTCAAATTTTAGCATTCATCACTTGCATATCTCTTATACTTGCAAAAATATGAAAATTTTGAAACAATTTCGAAATTGTTTAAAAGTATTAAGTGATCATTTAGTTGCATCATGCAATTTAGGATTGCATTTAGTTGCATTTGCATTGAGTTTTCAGCATTCTAAATTTTGAGCATGGTATTTGAAATCACTTCATTGCCTAAGTTGTTAGTTCTTTGATATT